TCACTCTCATCTCACTCCACTCCCTCTCATCTCACTCCACTCCCCTCTCATCTCACTCCCCTCTCATCTCACTCCACTCCCCTCCCTCTCATCTCACTCCCCTCCCTCTCATCTCACTCCCCTCCCTCTCATCTCACTCCCCTCCACTCACTCTCATCTCACTCCACTCTCTCTCATCTCACTCCACTCCACTCTCATCTCACTCTACTCCACTCCCTCTCATCTCACTCCACTCCCCTCTCATCTCATCTCACTCCGCTCTCATCTCACTCCACTCCACTCCCTCTCATCTCACTCCCCTCCCTCTCATCTCACTCCCCTCCCTCTCATCTCACTCCACTCCCTCTCATCTCACTCTACTCCACTCTCATCTCACTCCACTCCCTCTCATCTCACTCCCCTCCCCCTCATCTCACTCCACTCACTCTCATCTCACTCCACTCCCCTCTCATCTCACTCCACTCCCTTCTCATCTCACTCCACTCCCCTCTCATCTCACTCCACTCCCCTCTCATCTCACTCCCCTCCACTCCCTCTCATCTCACTCCACTCCCTCTCATCTCACTCCACTCCCTCTCATCTCACTCCACTCCCTTCTCATCTCACTCCACTCCCCTCTCATCTCACTCCACTCCCTCTCATCTCACTCCACTCCCTCTCATCTCACTCCACTCCCCTCTCATCTTACTCCACTCCACTCTCATCTCACTCCACTCTCTCTCCTGCCTCTCATCTCACTCCACTCCCCTCTCATCTCACTCTACTCCCCTCTCATCTCACTCCACTCCCTCTCATCTCACTCCACTCCACGCTCTCTCCTGCCTCTCATCTCACTCCACTCCCTCTCATCTCACTCCACTCCTCTCCCCTCTCATCTCACTCCTCTCCCCTCTCATCTCACTCCCCTCCCTCTCATCTTACTCCACTCCACTCTCATCTCACTCCACTCCCCTCTCATCTCACTCCACTCCACTCTCATCTCACTCCACTCCACTCTCATCTCACTCCACTCCACTCTCTCTCCTGCCTCTCATCTCACTCCACTCCCCTCTCATCTTACTCCACTCCCCTCTCATCTCACTCCACTCCACTCTCATCTCACTCCACTCCACTCTCATCTCACTCCACTCCACTCTCTCTCCTGCCTCTCATCTCACTCCACTCCCCTCTCATCTCACTCTACTCCCCTCTCATCTCACTCCACTCCACTCTCATCTCACTCCACTCCACGCTCTTTCCTGCCTCTCATCTCACTCCACTCCCTCTCATCTCACTCCACTCCTCTCCCCTCTCATCTCACTCCTCTCCCCTCTCATCTCACTCCCCTCCCTCTCATCTCACTCCCCTCCCTCTCATCTTACTCCACTCCACTCTCATCTCACTCCACTCCCCTCTCATCTTACTCCACTCCCCTCTCATCTCACTCCACTCCCTTCTCATCTCACTCCACTCCCCTCTCATCTCACTCCCCTCCACTCCCTCTCATCTCACTCTACTCCCTCTCATCTCACTCCACTGCCCTCTCATCTCACTCCCCTCCCTCTCATCTCACTCCACTCCCCTCTCATCTCACTCCACTCCCTCTCATCTCACTCCACTCCCTCTCATCTCACTCCACTCCCCTCTCATCTCACTCCACTCCCTCTCATCTCACTCCACTCCACTCTCATCTCACTCCACTCCCTCTCATCTCACTCCACTCCCCTCTCATCTCGCTCCCCTCCCTCTCATCTCACTCCACTCCACTCTCATCTCACTCCATTCCACTCTCACCTCACTCCACTCCACTCTCATCTCACTCCACTCCACTCTCACCTCACTCCACTCCACTCTCATCTCACTCCACTCCACTCTCATCTCACTCCACTCCACTCTCATCTCACTCCATTCCCCTCCACGCTCTCTCCTGCCTCTCTCCTGCCAATGATGGTTCCCGTTTTCGTTGCATTCCAGGTCAGGGGATCGGATCTGAGATCTTGAAGCTCGTCAGCCAGGTGAGACGATGTCCTTTCGATAAGCCTCCCCAGCATCACCACTATCGACCTCCTGTACACCAGGCGAGGCAGTCAACATCTCACCCACTCACTCACTCAGACATCGTCAGGGGTCAGGATGGAACCCACGACCTCCTGCACACCAGGCGAGGTAGTCAACATCTCACCCACTCACTCACTCAGACATCGTCAGGGGTAAGGATCGAACCCACGACCTCCTGTACACCAGGCGAGGTAGTTAACATCTCCTAGCCACCGTGATGATGTTTGGAGATAGGGAAAGACGCAGACTTCACATATACAGCAATGGCATCGTCAGATTCGGGATGGAACCCAAGACCTCCTGTGTGCCAAGCGAGGTTGTAAATAAATACCAACCATGATAATGATGACGGAGAAAGGAGACGCAGACTCCAAATATACAGCAGCGGGCATCGTCAGGATAGGGATCGAACCCACGGCCTCCTGCATACCAAGCGAGGTAGTCAACATCTCCTAGTCATCGTGATGATGATGATGATGAAAGAGAGACACTCAGACTCCACATCTACAGCAGCAGCAGGCATCGTCAGATTCTGGATCGAACCCACGACCTCCTGTACCCCAGGCGATGTAGTCAACATCTCACCCACTCACTCAGATATCGTTAACGTCAGGATCGAACCTACGACCTCCCGCACACCAGGCGAGGTAGTCAACATCTCACCCACTCACTCAGACATCGTCAGGGGTCAGGATGGAACCCACGACCTCCTGCACACCAGGCGAGGTAGTCAACATCTCACCCACTCACTCAGACATCGTGAGGGGTCAGTGTTCGATCCCACGACCTCCTGCACACCAAGCGAGGTAGTCAACATCTCATAGCCACCGTGATGATGATGAGAGAGACTCTCAAACTCCACATCTACAGCAGCAGCAGCAGGCATCGTGAGGATCGGTGTAGAACCCACGACCTCCTGTACACCAGGCGAGGTAGTCAACATCTCATAGCCACCGTGATGATGATGATGATGAGAGAGACACTCAGACTCCACATCTACAGCAGCAGCAGCAGGCATCGTGAGGATCGGGGTAGAACCCACGACCTCCTGTACACCAGGCGAGGTAGTCAACATCTCACCCACTCACTCAGACATTCCCAGGGGTCAAGGTGGAACCCACGACCTCCTGCACACCAGGCGAGGTAGTCAACATCTCACCCACTCACTCAGACATCGTGAGGGGTCAGGATCGATCCCACGACCTCCTGTACACCAGGCGAGGTAGTCAACATCTCACCCACTCACTCAGACATCGTCAGGGGTCAACATCTCACCCACGACCTCCTGTACACCAGGCGAGGTAGTCAACATCTCACCCACTCACTCAGACATCGTCAGGGGTCAACATCTCACCCACGACCTCCTGTACACCAGGCGAGGTAGTCAACATCTCACCCACTCACTCAGACATCGTCAGGGGTCAACATCTCACCCACGACCTCCTGTACACCAGGCGAGGTAGTCAACATCTCACCCACTCACTCAGACATCGTCAGGGGTCAACATCTCACCCACGACCTCCTGTACACCAGGCGAGGTAGTCAACATCTCACCCACTCACTCAGACATCGTCAGGGGTCAACATCTCACCCACGACCTCCTGCACACCAGGCGAGGTAGTCAACATCTCACCCACTCACTCAGACATCGTCAGGGGTCAACATCTCACCCACGACCTCCTGTACACCAGGCGAGGTAGTCAACATCTCACCCACTCACTCAGACATCGTCAGGGGTCAACATCTCACCCACGACCTCCTGCACACCAGGCGAGGTAGTCAACATCTCACCCACTCACTCAGACATCGTCAGGGGTCAACATCTCACCCACGACCTCCTGTACACCAGGCGAGGTAGTCAACATCTCACCCACTCACTCAGACATCGTCAGGGGTCAACATCTCACCCACGACCTCCTGTACACCAGGCGAGGTAGTCAACATCTCACCCACTCACTCAGACATCGTCAGGGGTCAACATCTCACCCACGACCTCCTGCACATCAGGCGAGGTAGTCAACATCTCACCCACTCACTCAGACATCGTCAGGGGTCAACATCTCACCCACGACCTCCTGCACACCAGGCGAGGTAGTCAACATCTCACCCACTCACTCAGACATCGTCAGGGGTCAACATCTCACCCACGACCTCCTGTACACCAGGCGAGGTAGTCAACATCTCACCCACTCACTCAGACATCGTCAGGGGTCAACATCTCACCCACGACCTCCTGTACACCAGGCGAGGTAGTCAACATCTCACCCACTCACTCAGACATCGTCAGGGGTCAACATCTCACCCACGACCTCCTGCACATCAGGCGAGGTAGTCAACATCTCACCCACTCACTCAGACATCGTCAGGGGTCAACATCTCACCCACGACCTCCTGCACATCAGGCGAGGTAGTCAACATCTCACCCACTCACTCAGACATCGTCAGGGGTCAACATCTCACCCACGACCTCCTGTACACCAGGCGAGGTAGTCACCATCTCACCCACTCAGTCATCGTCAGGGTCAAGATCGAACCCACGACCTCCTGTACACCAGGCGAGGTAGTCAACATCTCACCCACTCACTCAGATATCGTCAGGGGTCAACATCTCACCCACGACCTCCTGTACACCAGGCGAGGTAGTCAACATCTCACCCACTCACTCAGACATCGTCAGGGGTCAACATCTCACCCACGACCTCCTGTACACCAGGCGAGGTAGTCAACATCTCACAGCCACCGCAGTCACCAGCCCCCCCCCCCCCCTTGTCCCCCACCAGGTCGCCGTGGAGTCTCGCTGCTCCGTGATGACCTTCCTGGTGGCCGAGTGGAACGCTCCGTCCATCGGCTTCTACCGTCGCCGCGGTGCTGTCAACTGCACGGAGAGCGAGGGCTGGCACGTCTACAACATCCCACAGCAGAGCCTCCGGCAGATCGCCAGCGGAGAGTGCGTGGCGGGGACGGTGGGGGGGGGGGGGGTGTCCAGGTGGCGTTGGGGGGAGGGGTTAGAGGGGGTTTAGGGGGGGTTTAGGGGGTTCTAGAGCGGGTTTAGGGGGGGCAGGTGGGGTTTAGGGGGTTCTAGAGGGGGTTTAGGGGGGTCCAGGTGGGGTTTAGGGGGTTCTAGAGGAGGTTTAGGGGGGCCCAGGTGGGGTTTAGGGGGTTCTAGAGGGGGTTTAGCGAGGTCCAGTGGGGACCAGGGGGTTCCAGAGGGTGTTTAGGGGGGCCCAGGTGGGGTCCACGGGGTCTAGAGGAGGTTTCGGGGGGCCAGGTGGGGTCCACGAGTTCTAGAGAGGGTTTAGGGCGGCCAGGTGTGGTTTAGGGGGGTTCTAGAGGGGGTTTAGGGGGGTTTATGGGGGTGTGTCCAGGTGGGGGTGGGTCTAGAGGGGGTTTAGGGGGGCCAGGTGGGGTCCACGGGGCCTAGAGGGGGTTTAGGGGGGTCCATGGGGGTGTGTCCAGGTGGGGGGAGAGTTTAGGGGGGCTCAGGTGGGGTTCAGGGGGTTCCAGAGGGGGTTTAGGGGGGCCCAGGTGGGGTTTAGGGGGTCTAGAGGGGGTTTAGGGGGGCCCAGGTGGGGTTTAAAGGGTCTAGAGGGGGTTTAGGGGGGTCCATGGGGGTGTGTCCAGGTGGGGGGAGGGTTTAGGGGGGCTCAGGTGGGGTTCAGGGGGTTCCAGAGGGGGTTTAGGGGGGCCCAGGTGAGGTTTAGGGGGTTCTAGAGGGGGTTTAGGGGGGCCCAGGTGGGGTTTAAAGGGTCTAGAGGGGGTTTAGGGGGGTCCATGGGGGTGTGTTCAGGTGGGGGGGTTTAGCGGGGCCTAGGTGGGGTCCAGTAGCGGGGGGGGGGGGGGGTCCAGCGAGGTCCAGGCGGTCCAGAGGGGGTTTAGCGGGGCCCAGGTGGGGTCCAGGGGGTTCTAGAGGGGGTTTAGGGGGGTCCATGGGGGTGTGTTAGGCCAGCCGAAGCGACGTGTAAACTATCGACCCCTAGCTGGCGATGAGGACCGTTGAGTTGCGTCGAGATGTCAGAACGACGAACAGAATCCCGTTGCCAGGAATCCCGTCTGCGTTAGCCACACGCATGGTGCCCGTGGTGAACATGGGTCTCTGTGGGTCTCTGTGAGTCTCTGTGGGTCTCTGTGGGGAGTCTCTGTGAGTCTCTGTGGGTCTCTGTGAGTCTCTGTGGGTCTCTGTGAGTCTCTGTGGGGAGTCTCTGTGGGTCTCTGTGGGTCTCTGTGGGTCTCTGTGGGTATCTGTGGGTCTCTGTCTCTGTGAGTCTCTGTGTGTCTCTGTGTGTCTCTGTGGGTTTCTGTGGGTCTCTGTGTGTCTCTGTGGGTCTCTGTTTGTCTCTGTGGGTCTCTGTGGGTCTCTGTGAGTCTCTGTGGGTCTCTGTGGGTCTCTGTGTGTTTCTGTGGGTCTCTGTGAGTCTCTGTGGGTCTCTGTGAGTCTCGGTGGGTCTCTGTGGGTCTCTGTGGGTCTCTGTGGGTCTCTGTGGGACTCTGTGAGTCTATGTGGGTCTCTGTGGGTCTCTGTGAGCCTCTGTGGGTGTCTGTGAGTCTCTGTGGGTCTCTGTGAGTCTCTGTGTGTCTCTGTGGGTCTCTGTGAGTCTCTGTGGGTCTCTGTGGGTCTCTGTGTGTCTCTGTGGGTCTCTGTGAGTCTCTGTGGGTCTCTGTGGGTCTCAGTGGATCTCTATAAGTCTCTGTGGGTCTCTGTGGGTCTTTGTGGGTCTCTGTGGGTCTCTGTGAGTCTCTGTGGGTCTCTGTGAGTCTCTGTGTGTCTCTGTGGGTCTCTGTGAGTCTTTGTGGGGAGTCTCTGTGGGTCTCTGTGAGTCTCTGTGGGTCTCTGTGAGTCTCTATAAGTCTCTGTGGGTCTCTGTGGGTCTCTGTGGGTCTCTGTGGGTCTTTGTGGGTCTCTGTGGGTCTCTGTGAGTCTCTGTGGGTCTCTGTGAGTCTCTGTGTGTCTCTGTGGGTCTCTGTGAGTCTTTGTGGGGAGTCTCTGTGGGTCTCTGTGAGTCTCTGTGGGTCTCTGTGAGTCTCTATAAGTCTCTGTGGGTCTCTGTGGGTCTCTGTGGGTCTCTGTGGGTCTCTGTGAGTCTCTGTGGGTCTCTGTGAGTCTCTGTGGGGAGTCTCTGTCGGTCTCTGTGAGTCTCTGTGGGGAGTCTCTGTGGGTCTCTGTGGGTCTCTGTGGGTCTCTGTGAGTCTCTGTGGGTTTATGCGGGTCTCTGTGAGTCTCTGTGAGTCTCTGTGGGTTTCTGTGGATCTCTGTGAGTCTCTGTGGGTCTCTGTGGGTCTCTGTGAGTCTCTGTGGGTCTCTGTGGGTCTCTGTGAGTCTCTGTGAGTCTTTGCGGGTCTCTGTGGGTCTCTGTGAGTCTCTGTGGGTCTCTGTGAGTCTCTGTGAGTCTCTGTAGGTCTCTGTGAGTCTCTGTGGGTCTCTGTGAGTCTCTGTGGGTCTCTGTGGGTCTCTGTGTGTCTCTGTGTATCTCTGTGGGTCTCTGTGGGTCTCTGTGAGTCCGTAGAATCGCACAGTTTAGAGTATTGGGCCGCCAATTGGTTGATTACCAAGGGGGTCGCTTCCAATAAAAAGCCACAGAGCTGAGAACCCGGGGGAAAAATCCCTAGTTTCTCAGGTTCATAGACTCACAGAGAAAGCCATAGACTCACACAGAGACCTATAGACTCACACAGAGACCCATAGACTCACACAGAGACCCATAGACTCACACAGAGAGCTATATACTCAAACAGAGAGCCATAGACTTACACAGAGACCCATATACTCACACAGAGACCCATAGACACCACACAGAGACCCACAGACTCATCACACAGAGACCCATAGACTTATCACACAGAGACCCACAGACTCACCACACAGAGACCCATAGACTCACCACACAGAGACCCATAGACACACACAGAGACCCATAGACTCATCACACAGAGACCCACAGACTCACCACACAGAGACCCATAGACTCACCACACAGAGACCCATTGACTCACACAGAGACCCATAGACTCATCACACAGAGACCCACAGACTCATCACACAGAGACCCATAGACTCATCACACAGAGACCCACAGACTCATCACACAGAGACCCATAGACTCACTCACACAGAGACCCATAGACTCACTCACACAGAGACCCATCGACTCATCACACAGAGACCCACAGACTCACTACACAGAGACCCACAGACTCACTCAAACAGAGACCCATAGACTCACTACAGAGACCCATAGACTCATCAAACAGAGACCCATAGACTCATCACACAGAGACCTACAAACTCACCACACAGAGACCCAGAGACTCACCACACAGAGACCCACAGACTCATCACACAGAGACCCATAGAATCATCACACAGAGACACACAGACTCACTAACACAGAGACCCACAGACTCATCACACAGAGACCCACAGACTCACCACACAGAGACCCACAGACTCATCACACAGAAACCCATAGACTCACCACACAGAGACCCACAGACTCACCACACAGAGACCCACAGACTCATCACACAGAGACCCATAGAATCATCACACAGAGACACACAGACTCACTAACACAGAGACCCACAGACTCATCACACAGAGACCCACAGACTCACCACACAGAGACCCACAGACTCATCACACAGAAACCCACAGACTCACCACACAGAGACCCACAGACTCACCACACAGAGACCCACAGACTCATCACACAGAGACCCATAGACTCATCACACAGAGACACACAGACTCACTAACACAGAGACCCACAGACTCACCACACAGAGACCCACAGACTCATTACACAGAGACCCATAGACTCATCACACAGAGACCCACAGACTCACCACACAGAGACCCACAGACTCACCACACAGAGACCCACAGACTCATCACACAGAGACCCATAGACTCATCACACAGAGACCTACAGACTCATTACACAGAGACCCATAGACTCATCACACAGAGACCCATAGACTCATCACACAGAGACCCACAGACTCATTACACAGAGACCCATAGACTCATCACACAGAGACCCACAGACTCACCACACAGAGACCTACAAACTCACCACACAGAGACCCACAGACTCACCACACAGAGACCCACAGACTCACCACACAGAGACCCACAGACTCACCACACAAATACCCACAGACTCACCACACAGAGACCCATAGACTCATCACACAGAGACCCACAGACTCATCACACAGAGACCCATAGACTCATTACACAGAGACCCACAGACTCATCACACAGAGACCCATAGACTCACTCAAATAAAGACCCATAGACTCACTACAGAGACCCTCAGACTCATCACACAGAGACCCTCAGACTCATCACACAGAGACCCACAGACTCACCACACAGAGACCCACAGACTCACCACACATAGACCCATAGACTCTTCACACAGATACCCATAGACTCACACAGAGACCCACAGACTCACCACACAGAGACCCACAGACTCACCACACAGAGACCCACAGACTCACTCAAATAAAGACCCATAGACTCACTACAGAGACCCATAGACTCATCACACAGAGACCCACAGACTCATCACACAGAGACCCACAGACTCACCACACAGAGACCCACAGACTCACCACACAGAGACCCACAGACTCACCACACAAATACCCACAGACTCACCACACAGAGACCCATAGACTCATCACACAGAGACCCACAGACTCATCACACAGAGACCCATAGACTCATTACACAGAGACCCACAGACTCATCACACAGAGACCCATAGACTCACTCAAATAAAGACCCATAGACTCACTACAGAGACCCTCAGACTCATCACACAGAGACCCTCAGACTCATCACACAGAGACCCACAGACTCACCACACAGAGACCCACAGACTCACCACACATAGACCCATAGACTCTTCACACAGATACCCATAGACTCACACAGAGACCCACAGACTCACCACAC